AAAAACCAAAAAAAAAAAAAAAAAGAAAAGTGTGCGTGAAGTACAACTCATTTCTTTCAATTTCAAGAGAAGGTGAACTCTGAGCCACTGCATGATTTCTTTTTTGCTTGTACCAGCAATCGAACTCACAACCTCACACTTGCCAGGCAGGCACCATGCCTGCTGAGCTATATCCCCAGCTCCGCCACTGGATAGTTTTGTTTTGTTTTGTTTTTTTGTTTTTTTCCAGTACCGGGAATCAAACTCAAGACCTTGCGCTTGCCAGGCAGGCGCTGTGCCGCTGAGCTAAATCTCCAGCCCCTGCCACTGGATATTTGAAAACAACCCTATCTGCACTCATCCTTAAATAGCTGGCAGGATACAGATTCTTTGGTTGGATTATTTTCCCCCAAAGAATGTGTATTTTATTCTCAAGCTTTATTGTGTTTTCTTTTTTGGTGGAGGAGGCTACAAGAATCAAACTCAGGACCTCGCGCTTGCCAGGCAGGTACTTGTGCCACGGAACTTTACTGTCTTAAAGCATGAAGCTTTGATCCAGTCTGGTGTGGTGTGTGCATGACCTCTGAGTTTTTCATTAATCCTAGAAGTTCTGCAGTTTTGAGGCTGTGTCATGGTGCAGCTCTGCACCCGGTGTGCTCCTTCAAACTGAATGTCTACGCCGCCCATTCCTGTTCAGTGGGTACGGCATTACCTTGGATCCCTGAGTTCTTTATGTTAAAATAACGTTCTCTCTGAGGCTCTGGTTTTTTCCACTGGCGCTGTTACTTTCTGGGCGTTTGTCTCCTGTCCCTGCCATTGGCTCCTCACATGCCTGAGATCTTCAGGCTGCTCGCGCACATCCACGGCGGAGTGACTCAGGAGGCAGCTTGGATCTCCTACTTCCTGGCTGGCACGCGCTCCTCAGATGACAGAGAGAGCACAACGTGTGCAGGCTGGCACAGGCTCCAGCAGTGCACCTCGAGGGCGAGTGGGTGGGGAGGCATTGAGCCTAAATGCCAGAAAGAAGACGGCTTTTTCTCTTTCGTTCTGGGAATAGAACATGCACTTTAGAAGTCTTAGCCTTTCCCAACTTCTATTAAAAAAAAGATCTGTCTGGTGTTTGGCCTGGGATTCATGCCAGCTACCTGTAGTCCAAGTTGGGGGATGAAAGACACAGGTATGGTGAGGTGAAGACGGGGTACAGTTGGGCCTTCTGGGTCCCAAAGGTGCAGAACTCTGTCTGCCATCCTTTGATAGCCCTCCTATTTACTGTTACTGACTTCTTCGTTTCTGATTTCTATGTTTCACTTCAGTGGGATCAGGAGGGAAGGAACCAAAGATGTGGGTTCAGTCCATCCTGAAAATCATATACAGGCCAGGTGTGGTAGTCCACACCTGTAATCCCAGCACTCAGGAGGCTGAGTCTGTGAGTCTGAAACCAGCCTGGGTTACATAGTGAGTTCAAGGGCAGCCAGAACTACATAGTGAGACACTGTCTCAAAAAACAAAAACAAAACAAATAAAATGCTTTCAGATTTCCTTAGATTTTGGGATATTTGTACATGTATAAATGAGGTATTTTGGGTTGGGACCTAATCTAACCACAAATTCCTTTATGTTTCATATATAGTTATAAACAAAGCCTAAAGGTAACTGCATACAATATTTTTAATGCATCTGTACGTGAAGCATTACCAAGGCATAAAATTTCCACTTGTGGCATCATGACAGTGTTCGAAAAATTTCAGATTTTGGGGCATTTAGGATTTCTGAGTTGTGGATTAGTGCTATTCAGTCTGCAATATGTTTTATCATTTGCACTTTTTACTATGAGAAAAATGTGTTAAATGCTAAAAAACCAAAGTGGGATTAAATATAGGTCATATATTTACCAACTGAGATTTCCTTGTAGAAGCAAGGTGATACTTTAAAATCCTATTTTAAAAAAATCCTTTACCAAAAATACTGATGTGTTAACATTTGAATAGTAAGGTATGCCTAACCTTTTGAACAATTAAAACAGAAATATAAACCCTCTAGTTTCATTCTGAAGAAGTGCAATTCCTCTACTATTCAAATGAGAGTAACATTGCTTACAGACCCAACCTACCTTTACGAGGAGCCACATTATGGGGACACGAAGAAAAATCAAAATAAAAAACTTTCAAAAAGCCAGGTAGGTCAGTACACACCTGTAATCCCCGCACTCTGGGAGGCTGAAGAAGAGATTTCAAATTTGAGCACAGTCTGGGAAACTTAGTGAAACCTTGCCTCAAAAAAAAAAAAAAAAAAAAGCCTGGAGATATAGCTCAGCATGAAGGCCCTAGTTCAATCCCCGGTACCAGCACCACCCATTCACCAAATCTGTCAATAACGCTTGTGCCAAGGTATGGAGCTGGAATCTTTCCTTATAAAGGCAATCAGGGTTTCTGAGAGAAATGGATGCTGCTAGCACAGTCAGAAACAGAGGAGCTCAGTCCCTCCCTTCCCTGTGCTCAACTGTAAACAGCACACCACCGACGTCATCCATGCTTCCATGGTCCCGAGACAGGAAAGATAAGTGAGCCTCCCCCTCCTCCCCATTCAGCCGTAAACACAAGGCTGCCCCAATGGATTATTATTCCCGTATAAGCTTATGGGGCTGCAGATTGCCGACATCAGAAAGACAGTGAGAGGGGCCTAAGACCAGTGCTGTCTGACCCTAGAATACTGGAAGCCTGAGGTACAAGCCCCCTCTGCCTGCTTTGCGCTTCTGCCTCCTCCTGCTGCTGCCCTTCGGTCTTCGGTAAACCGAACTACACGCTACGAGGTGGATGCCTCGCAGCTCCCTCCTTGTCGCACACAACAACCCGGACCATTTGGGCCCACTCAACTGTATGAGAACCAGGTGTAGGGCTGGGACAGCTTTCCGCCCTAGACAGCAAAGAAGCTTTCAAATACCAATGTAGTCATAATCTAGGGGTCAACAAAGCCGTGGGGGATGGAACTGGAAAGTATTGAGAACGGTTACGTCTCACTGACAGGTATATTCTTGCACATATTTTTTATGTTTAAGGACTTCCATACTTAAAAATATGGTGTCAAACGAAGAAACACAGGAGTCGGTTTGAAAGGTCCCCTTCCCTACTGCCAAAGTTGTACGGCTTATGTCTGAAGCTGATGAAAACACACTGACTCAGTGGGAACCCACGAGTCTGCACTGATATTCAAAAAGCCAGGCAGAAGCGCGGGTAATCATCTGAGCTGGTGAAAACTGCTAAACTCGCTTACAGAATTTATTTGTCCTCGTTCTGTAGGAACAACTAAATTTCAGAACAAATCAACAGCCCCAGTCAATAAAGTACTCTATTTTACAGGAGGCCACCTCATAATACAAAAGAAAAAGGAAAATCAGAATTATGCAACTTCATGCAATTACTGACTCAGACAAGCGTTATTCAGGTATGTGTTTGCTACGCCTTCGTGACTCATAACGTATAAAGTAACAGCAAACATTTTCTAGAAAGGCCAGGAAACTGTATGTTATGGGATCAGTGCGTTACCCCAAATCAATATTCAACTTCAGTTCCAAGGGTGATGAAGACAGATATTGTGTCTCTTAACGCAATTCAAACAGGCTCGTTGCCAGACACCGGAACATTGCATGCACAGAGACTAACAACTCGGACTGTTCTGGTGGAAGTTGGTGCTTTCCCTCATTCCAGTCATTATCTACATTAGGCTTCCACACAGGGAAGGATCCAAGCAAACAGACAACAGTTACTCACCGGAAGAACTAGCCTGAGATCGTTCTCGCAGGTAACCTGTATTTTAACTGTAGGAGCTACTTGTTCAAAGTATAAATTCAGCGTTGTCTAAAACAAGACTTGTTAATGTCTGAGCTTAGTTTGCAGACTGGGGTCATCCTTCATCTCAGAAGTTTTTTTCCCTTTTGTTTAATAGTTGTTATTGTTTGGTTTGTTCTGGTCTTTCCAGAATCTCTTTTCCGTATGTTGGATCTCTTTATTCTTTATGACTACTGTACCATCTTTTCCTTCAAATCTATTTTTTTTTTTCTATCTCCTCTCACCTTTTCTTCTGAATTTTGGGAAAGCTTCTCAAACTTGAATTTCATATAACTACATATTCTGATCTGTTATGTTTGATGCACAGTTTAATTGGGGTATTGCACATTCAATTTCTGTTCTACTGTTTCTTATTTGAATACTGCACATTTTAGTTCCTATCTTATTGTCTGTTTCTTCTTTTTTCAATACTTTTAAATTTATGCCTTTCCACTAGCCAGCTTCCCTCCCTTTCAGCACACTCTACTCACTTGTGAGTTCATTTCCATAATTTATTCCAGGGACACCACAATTTTTAAAATATGTGAACATCTAAAATATTTCCTAAGATTTCCTTGATATTGAGGCAAACTTTTACATCAGGAATACATGCTTTTGCCCCATAGAGGGTGCAATACTCTTTGTTTTGTTTCTGGTTGCAGTTCTTGGGCCTCCCTGACTCAGTCCCTCCAGCACCTGCTATAAACCAGTAGGTAGATGTAGAAGTTTGGTAACAGTAGCGTTTGATTGTCAGCAAGAATATTGCATGACGGAGGTGTGAACTTCCACCAGGAAGTTTATGCCTGTCTCTTTTTGTGACGTTAGGATGAAGCCTATGCTCAAGCGCTGCCAGCCCAATCCAGCCACCACACAGCGTTCCATCAGCAGCTCACCTTGTAGTTCTAGCTGTCCTTCTTAATGTCACAGTTGGAATACTTCAGGAAGAAAATCCTACCCCTACCAACTACGTGGTCACCCTGAGATTATATAGTTGTACAGGACAGAGAATTAGTGATTGAATTTTTCATTTCCCAATTTTCAACATAAAGGACTGGTTCTTTAATAACCAATAATGAGTATTTTCAAAAAGTAACATATAAGCTTACAGGCTTTTAAACATATCTGATGTGTTTCAAGTTACTGCAGTTTCTGCTTTTTTAGGTTCAAATGATCTTTTTTTTTGCCTGTGAGAATCTCTTCCAGTTGGCTCCTAAGTCCTCTGCTATAACCCCTGTGGTTTTGATGGCTTTCTTGCTAGGTTTATCATGTACGCTTCTGCCAAAGAAGGGAAATGGCCGTTCTCCAGAGTTCTAGTTTCTTTTGTGTGAACACCTACATTACATCTAACTGGAGTCTCTTGCCATTATTGTATTTCAGGTATATGAATCCTTTCTTGTCTCTGGTATACCAGTTTTAGCTGTATTTGTAGTCATTTAAATGGTGGCAAGAGATGGGGTTACAAGGAGTCAGATGCCTATGCTCACCCACACAGCTTTCTGTATCTGTGAGTGTTAGGCCTGTTGCTAGATACAGACACCAAAAATAAACTGTGCTGTGTTCTAGCCCTTGTTATTTTTTGCTTATATAAAAGAAACTCACAAGTAGGTAGCCTGAATCTTTAGATGGGGCTACATGCTCACTGAGGACACAGACATGTTTTTTTCTTTTTACATCACCCCATGACCCAAAAAAGCTACTGAAGTCTCAGCATTATGGTGGTACTGCAGCCCAGAAAGAAGAAGAAAGGAATGCAGGTGAAAGAGGACATCTTTCCATGGGATTGCTGCACTTTAATGAGGCTTTCCTGGAGCTTCACGCTGCACTTCCAGTATTTCATTAGTCAAATCTGTTATGTGAGCTCTCGGTTGAAAAGGACACTGGGAAATACATTTCGTGCCAGTCAACAATACACCAAGTGAAAAATCAGGGTTTTATAATTAGAAGGAGAAAGTGGGTACTGGAGAGAAGCTAGTGGAGTTTACCTCCCATTTCACTAAAGAGCCCTTCTCGATGCACACACTTCTCTCATCTCCTCCCTCTTCTTCCTCCCTCCCTCCCTCACTCTTTTCCTCCCTCCACGCAGTGCTTTTCTTATATCTTGATTACACAAATTCTTGACGTCTGGCTCAAAATTATTATGAAGAACTGTTATACTGTATTCTTCTCTAGATTGAGTTCCTTGAAGGCGCAGGGGATGTCTTACTCATATCGATGCCCCCCTCTTATCCAGCATAGGCACCCCATAAATAGTAAGTTGAGCCGGGCCTTCGTCATAAACACTGAAGGCGCAGATCCAGTTTAAGTGAGCAGCGTGTGTACATCTCCAGCTTAAGCCTATGCTGAGTCACCCGCTTGGGAACCCAGTCTTCCCTGAACCTAGAGCTTGCCCTGGAAATCAGCAGCACTTCACGGGGACATCAATCCTGCTACCCTCATTTATTCTCAAAGCTCCATGAGACATAGTTTAATTTTTAAAAAGTCTCATTTGAATGAAAAGGGACGTTCTTCCTTTTTGGGGGTTCAGGCTGGAGAAGAATGTTAAGAAAATACAAACGTTTAATGAGTGGTTTTGCCAAATGCTATATATACTTTCATACCCAAATCAAATTCGAAGGTCTTCTTATTACCAGCATACAGCTGAGGAAATTGAGCAGTTTTTAATTCTGCCAAGGAAAAATTATTAGGGAGCAAAGGGAATTTAACCCCACATTATTCTGGCTTCCAAGTGTTTACATCAAAGACGGCAATATCGTATTATCTGGTCCCAAATCATGATATATTTTCTCACCAGTTACCTAAAAGAAGAATGAGCTGCTGGCGCTTTGTGAGAGACAAAGCATTAGCATTATACATCAGCTCCTGAAATGAAAATCTGTTTTTAAAAAGAGCTTTTAAATTATTCACCTTAATTTTCTCCAGCAGCAACAGTATAAAGAACTAGGACAGAAATGTTTTTTAAACATCCAGGAGCTGCCTTGTACCTAGAAAAGCTTAACAATTACAGTGTTCTTTGAAGTATTGTGTAGTACTAAAGGGGGTGGGGAAACAGGCTCTGCTTGCTTCTTAGCAAAGGAGTTAGGGCTTTTCCAGCTGTGTAAGAATTCTCCACTCATTAGGAAAGTCGAGAGAAAGGACCTAATGATGTGTCTGTTTTACATGGATGATATGTAGGGGGACTTCACAGTACAAACTGGTACTGTCTTCCTAAGAAGTTCTGCATAACAGCTGTTGACAGTGAATTTTTATGGAATATCTCTTTAGCTATCGTACAAAATGGGAATGAAAAACGGGGACTGGTTCACAGTGATACAGAAGAATCAACCTGTGCGACAATAGGGTGCTGCAGTTGATTTTTCAGTGTAATTACTGGGATAATTTTTGATATAGACACAATAAAGTGCGGTTTTGAGCTACTCCAAAGCATCAAACCAGGAATAATTAGAGACTGCGAGAATGGAAATCATGCAAGAATAACCTGTCAGGATGTTAGAGTATCAGAGTTTTTCTGCTGTTCAAGCTAAAAAGACACAGCTAGCACAGCTGCTGTGCTGGGAACCTCTGGGTTACTATGATGAAATACCTGACAGAGAGGCTACTTACGAAAACAAGGTTTCTTTAGCTCAGGGCTTTGGAGGGTCCAGTCATAGCAGGTGGCCCCTCTGGTCTGGGTTCTGGCGAGAGCAGCCCATCGTGCAGAGGCACGTGTTGGAGGGAGAACTCCCATCCCAAGACAGGAAGCAGAGAGAGACCGAGAGGAAGAGATCGGGTCCCAAATCCTTTGGAGGGCACATCTTTAGTGACCCAAGTGCCTCTCACAAGAACCTGTCTCTCCAAGGACCTCCCACCTCCCTAGAGCACCACCTGGGGACCTAGCCTTCTTTCGAGGGCTTTGGGAGATACACTTCCAGACCCCAGCACTAGCCTTGTGACCTTGTATCATTTTTTGCAATTAAAAAGAAAGATCACCACACACACCTGTAATCCCAGCTTTCTTGGAGGCTGAGGCAAGAGTATCTCAAGTTTGAGCCTAGCCTTGGCTTAAAACCCTGTCTCAAAATAAAAGTAGGGCTGGGGATACAACTTCATCCAAAGGTCTAGGCTCCAATTCCCAAAACAAAACAGGATTACTAATTTGCTCATAGTCACAATTCGTCCAAAGTCTAACAAAAGATGTAACTCAAGCCCAATCGCAGGCCTAGAATCCAATTTTCAAGCTCAGTCCAGCGTTCGCCATTATATTACACTTTTGCTGTCCTTCCTTTTCTATCATTTATCTTTCTGCTTCTACAACATGTTCATTTTTTAAAAATGTGCCTGAAATGTCATATATTACCTACCAAATTTTGAAAGCAGTCAAGGATTTTTCATTCTCAAACTCCAGGAGAGGGCTCTGAGCCTTCAGAGGTGTCTCACGTTTCATATTACGTGAGACTTCGAACCCTAAGGAGCTAGGCACTCACGAGAATGCCACGCTGACCCAGATGCTTCATAACTAAGCAGCTCACGAGCATGGACATTTCCAGTACTCGTAACAGTTTCTAAGCTGGATATAACCCGATCTACTCCTATCAGTTCATTTACCCAACAAATATTTTCTACACATCTATTAAGGCACAT